TAAAAGAAAGATCCTCTTTAGTAAACATACTAGGTTTGATCTTTCTTTTATGTCTTTAGTAAACATACTAGGTTTTTACATTAACCTTCATCTTAACAGACAAACCTGCATTATTCCATATCTCATTCAATTTTCTAAAAATGATTCTACTTTTCTCAGTTTTGTGTTTACTTCCATCATATCTCCATCAACACTAACTATATTATCAGGAAATGTAAAGGTTTTCAAATCCTCAATGACTTGATCCAAGTCAATTGTCTTCAATCTCGTTGTCTTTGTCTGACCACTATTAATAGCTAAACCAACCTTTTGTGACAGTACTTCAGTCACTGTTTGTGTGTCATGACACAACATACATCTAATTAACCATTCAATGTCACAGTCTGTAAGATCAACTTTCCTCGTAACTCAAACTATATGAATATTTAAACAAGAAAGGTCACCCTGACTAACTCCACTCCTAGCCTCGAACCACTGTATTATCTTGACCGACCCACATACTGCAGCTCACTTATCACATTAATTATCTATCCATAGCATTGAAGCATGCTCCATATTGATTCCCTATATACAGTCGAGGCCTTTTTAAAATCAATAAAATTCAACATTAAAAGATTTTGCCATTCCTCACATTACTCAGTGATGTTTCTCTGAACAAAGATCTGGTCAACACGTCCTCTACCAGCTTTGAAACCTGCATGTTGCTCTCTCATGAAACCTTTTGTGGCATATTTCATCCTTTTTAACAAAATCATACGTAGGACAATGTAATTCTCATTCCTCTCTTGTTTTTTTTATGGTAACTCAAGATTTCTCTGGCAGCAATTACACAAGTTTCATTTCAATGTTCAACGCTTAAAATATCTAGTACCTGAAACCTTTTTTATAAATCTATTACAATATCTAGTACCTGAAACCTTTTTATAAATCTATTACAATATCTAGTACCTGAAACCTTTTTTATAAATCTAGATAGAATACAGCTTTTATATCTAGATTGTTTAGCTTAATAAAATCAAAAGTTTTAGGTATGTTTTGTTTGTTTTTACAGTTTCATTGTTATCTTTACAATAGCCAAATATAATAAAGGTTTCCTATTTCTGCACCTCTAAATAACCTGACATCAAGCCAAAATAAACAATGCTTACAGGATATACCTGTGGTCTATTTGATTTATAATTAAACCAACATAGCTTTTTCTTGTCCCTTTGTGAATGTTTCAATTTGAAAACAATGTAACACCAATTAACAAGCCACTCATTTCACAGCCTTCCTCAAATATGAAGCCATTATCATTTTATGCTTCCATTCCGAACATACTAAGAACAACCTTGGCATTCCTGTCTCTCATTAATCCTCTTGTTATGGATCTACCTATGATCAGAGATCAAAAGGCATGTCATCACATTTATACTTACATTCCAAATTTTATTGAACTACTATTTTATGAATGTATGTCAAGAAGTTGGGTATCAAACTGTAGATTATAATTCAAATTTCAGTATTATACATTAGTTAATTTCTAAATGTAAATGTAAATATGTTTAAAAATCCTAAATATTGGTTTTTGTGTGTCACATGGTATGTTGAATGCAGCTTTGGATCAAATTAGATTTTTGTGTTTCTTAAGAATTAAAATCCCAATTACCAATATTGACAAGCTAGAATATACAATAAGAATCTCCTATCTTTTTCATTTGCTGAGATATCATTATATTTAGCACATCAAACACAGTGGCCCCACCAACTTCTTCCATTTCTGGAAATACTTTCTTACATACACCTGCTTCATTTCTTCATGGTTTTATAACCATTT